TGCCAGGTATCTCCCAATCAGTAACAGCCTTACAGCTGTGAGAAGAAACTTGAGGGAATTGTTAACAAGGATAATAATTGCCTAAATAAGTTTTTTTTTTTCTATATTAAGTGTTTGTAATACTTCTTAATACTGTAAGTGTATATTGCTTCAAGGCACAGGAACTATTTGTGTCTTTATTTCTGCTTCTCAGCCAGTTACCCAGTGCTTTTTGTAATATTCCATCAACTTTTTTTAGGAAATCCGTTTAACATGTTTGACACTTGGCCCGTGAAGCAACTCTTCCATGGAAACCCTGATTGCCTACAGGACACTAAGCCTCACTTGTTAAGATCCCTTCGTACCATTCTAGTCATAAAAAGTCACCTTTACACCCCAGGTTTGGCAGTTGATGCTGGAGAGTGAAATAGATCTTTCAGAATTTGGGGGACTTCAACCTACTGTTTCTAGCTTGTATTTCTTGTACTGCTGTCCACTTTACTGGTGTAAAGTGGAGAATAACCTTCTCTTTCCCCAGAAGTTTTTCCATATGCACACATATATACACATACATATTTTGGCAAACCAATCTACTATCCCAAGTCAATGAGTTAATGACAGGCTGATGAAATGAATGTTCAGAGCTTTAAATCACTTTTTTCTTTAAGAACATTTAATTAACTTTATTTTTTGTTCAAGGTAATCTTGACTTTAAAACAAAAGGCCTGCAGGAAACTCATGTATTGTTAATTGCCAAAGCTGAGTCTGCTGTGGTTTTCCACACTGCTGATCATATATGGCATCCCAGATGAGTAGCAGATCTGATTTTATAGTCATGTTGTGTCAGGAGTTTAGACTGAGTATTACTTGTAATTCTGTCATTTATCTCTCCTGTTTCTTTATTAATGTCTTTAGTGTTCTTGCTCTGTCCTCAATCTTTCACATTTTGTACTGATGCTTTATTACAGTGTTTTCCAAATTTTTAAAGTAAAAATCTTTCAAGATGAACAACAGTCCTTCATCAGGAGCTGACTGAAAGCCAAATGATCTTTATTCATAGAGCTATTGCCTTACACATCCCCTCTTTGGAAATCAGTGTTCCATTATATGATATTGCTTCCTTGTCCCTACATTCCTTGATGAGTGGTAAAGTACAGTGTTGACATCTAAAATATTGTCACTGGCATGGCTGATAGGTGAGAGAGTTGAATGACTGAGAGAGTTTTCTCCTCAAAGGTAATTTTTTTCTGGGAGTCTCTGCAAATTCAGGCTCTAGTGATGGTTATTTTTTTTTATAAGTTACACTTGCAGTGCTTTTTTGAGATACATTTTTGAGCTTTGCTTTGCAAACATAGATGGGGGCAATTCTTTTCATTATAGTTGCTGTTGGCCATGTCCATCTGATGTTTTGTCCTCCAGCTGCCCCAGAAGATTTGTGATATAACACAGGAGTTAAATACAAAAAAAATATCATTCAGAGCTTGCATGGCCTTTAAGTGCCACTCACAAACTGTCACCTTGGGTGTATTATAAGCTTGGAAAAGCTTTCCATATTTTAGGTTCACAGTTTGCCAATACATTGTTGTTTTCACTGGTGTGTCTTTGATCTCACAAAAAGCTCTGTGCTGGTCAAGGAGTCTGTTGACACAGTCCCCTTTGGCCATGTGGGCCTTTGAGCTTGTTATGGGAAGAAGGAGGGATCGTGAAAGCAGAGCTTCAGAAAACACTGTAGTTGCCAAATAACATAGCATTTCTAAACCTGTTCTGTGTCAGACTGTGGGCCTCTGCTTCAGACCTGAGCTCTCACAGACTGCTGCCCACAACAGCCTTTCATCACTGTATCTGTGACAGTACAGAAATATTAGCAGCAGTTATTATTGTGTCTACGTAGAGGAATCCATCCCATGTAGGAACTAAAACAGGAGCAGAAAATAGATGGGCCCTTTGCCCTCAGGTTACTCTCTGAAGGTCCAGAGTACACAGAGGATGAGTGGATACAGAGAGATGTGGAAGCAGAGAGAAATGAAGTTATGAGTGCTTATTGTCTATGAGAAGATTCAGCTCCATCACTTCAAGATTGCTGGTGCCTTTAGGTAGGTTCCCCTCCCGAAATCTGCTGCAGTTCCTCCATCTCGGTCAGCAATCCCTTGTTGTTGCTGATGTGTCTTTTCTGGCAGTCGAGGTGCTGGCACAGGAGATCCTGGCCTCTTCTTGGGGTCATTTTGTCCAGTGCTTGTGTCAGGAAGCCCCAGCTGTGCCGTGCTGGGCTCTGTCTCAGCACAAGACAGTCACGGCCTGAAAGCACAGCCTCATAAAGTACAGTGAAGATCACTGAATAAACACTGTTCTAAAGTGTGTGGCTGCTGTTCACATGAAACCTGAGAGCAAAATATGGATCAGCACTGTCCCAGATCCCCAGCAGTCTCTGAACACCCTGTTCTACTCAGTCCCATGAGAGGGCTGAGATGGTTTTCCCTTCTAGTCCACGTGGTGAGGGAACTTCTGTTACTGACACTTACCAAGCAATACTTTTACACTAAAAGTTATGGACAGTTAAAAGCATATCAGGAAGCAATACCTGGAGATTTCATATGGTTTACAAATGGCATTTCCAATTCTGTATAGAAATTCAAGGATGATTATAGAAAGTTTTTTGTTGTACTAATGGAAATTTCTGAATCTATACCATGTCCCTTTCTCCAAGTGGACATACTTTTAATAATAAGAACTATCCATACATCCTTGACTTGTCATTTGTTAGAAAACACAAAATCTTAATGGCTCATATTGGAGAAATAAAGGTCAGGGTACAGGCAAAGTTCGTCTATATTACAGAAGATTAAAAAAGGAGAATATATTTGCTTCTGATTATGCTAATTCATCACTCCAAGCACGGTGTGATTGCATTCTGTCTAGTCAGTTCTTCTCTTTGTATCTTAAGGAAGAGATACAGGCAAAGTAAAGGGCATTTGGAGATAGACAGGGAAAATAATTGAGTCACAGAGAGTCTTCTATTTGAGGAGGGATGGGAAAGATAGGGGTTGTTTTAATTTAAAGAAGAGACAAATAAAAGAGAACATGACAGTGGGGTACAGAATGATGAATGATACAGAGAAGGTGAACTAGGCACTATTGCTTGCCCTTTCTTAAGTGCAGAAGCAGAGGGACATCCAGTAAAGCAGAAAGGCAAAAGCAGTAACTCTGGTTAGAGGAAAATTTTAAACAGTGTCTTATTTCCACAAGCTCATCTTGTTTCTCCATGATTCTAGAGCATGTATTGAGGGGGATGCAAAAGACCTCTAGAAAATGAATCCAAGTTGCCTTGCTAAGCAGTTGTTGTGGGCATACTGCAAAGACTGCTCACTGGATCAGATTATGTGGCTTGTATGAAAGAAAAGAACTATTCAGATAGTCCTAAAGAACCTTATTAGTCTCAAAAATGAGTGGATGTTTAAGTTAAGACATTGATATGTGTAATGAGAGTAGCCATGCATTTACTAGATAGCATAAAAAACTAACTGTTCAGGGCAGAAATCTACTACCAATGGAAAGAACATTCCTCTGCAGTTGACCCCCATGTTTGTTTTTTTTTTTTGCATGCCTCCCTGAATATCTACTCATGAGCCTTTTTTAAAATGCTGATCTTCTGACACATAGGCTTAGGGCCAAGCAGAATTCTGTCCCTAAGGAAGTTGTAGGAAGCACATTTATTCTTCCTGAATATCCCTTTCTTTTATTCTCTTTTCTTTTGGATGTTCTATGTATTATTCATCTTTAATTAATAAGTTTGTATCAAGATCCAGAAGAAAATTGATTTTGATCAGTAGATTCTAGGGAACTATAAACAGAGTAAATTATATATGTGCCTCCTCCATGCCTTACTGGGAAAAGACGTGCAAACATCTTACAAATGAGTGAGATCACTTTCTCTTTAGATTATTACAAGATCTGTTTGGATCTACTGTTACTTTTAGACTTGATCCCTGACAGTCCTTTTGCAGCTGTGCTGTTATTTTTATAATTCCTCACCAGACTGTAGTACATCCTGGTCCACCTGTGGCGATCATCACTTCAAAGCCTGGTTCCTGTGGTCATTTTGCCTCGTTTCTAATGGCTGTGTCTAGTCTGTGGTGGTAATGTCAGTGTAGTGATTCAGACCCGGGTCACATCTGTGAGGCAGCCTTGCCTTTCCTGCCTCGGTTTTTTCCCACCTTAAAATAGGTGAAATGCCTCATTCATTCTGGATGAAAACCACTCGCTAGGATATGGGGAAAACTGCATTTTTAGTGTGTTCTCATGCCTTATAATTAGGTCTTTGTCTCTCACTCACCTAAGGGAGGTCATGAATGCATATGCCAACTTTCTTGGGTTTAAACTTTGTGCAACCATTGAGCATTTAAAAAGTTTACCATTGAACATAGAACAGATGTATTTTATGAGTCATATAAAGTATATAATTTATAAAAGCTTGTCGGAAATACATATTTGTGTTTGTGTATATATTTGCTATGTATATAAATGGTGTAGTTTAGAGTGTATTTTCCCACCACTGCAGTCCAGCTGCCTTTGACATAGTTGTGGACTTTACTGCCATTGTTGCCAGCCCTGAAATACCAACCTACAACCTGGTTTAGCCTTTTGAAATCGCAGAGAAAAATTAATTGGAAATGTAATTTTGTACTCAGAGGTATGCAAATTTTATGTCTAAACTCAAGTGAAAAGAAGCATTCAGTCTAATTTTTTGGCATTTTCAAAAGCCCTCCAAAAACCATCTAGGCTGCAGGCTAAGCTGCCTTTCATAAATCTCAGCCGAAGACTTGCTGCTGACTTTTTAAGACTAAATTATTTCTATTGTTCTCAAGTAATTACATTTTTGTTGTTATCTGTGGAAAGAGCCCCACTGGGTTGAGCATGTAAGTATATGGGAATGGGGGGAAGGAGGATTTGTGGTAGTTACGTGGAGATGATAAAGCTGAAAACATAGCAGCAGGACATAAATCAGATTTTTCTTCTTTTTCTAGTTGGCTCGTCACAATAAAACATTGCAACAGATGCTGAAGCCAGGGTCAGATCCAGATGAAGGAGATGAAGCCTTGAGGTTTTATGCCAAACATACTGCACAGATAGAGGTAAAGAATTGCTCCCTGGAAGATTGAATATGAGACAAGTCTGCATCTTGTGCATGGTGTATCACCTCTTTTTAAGCTTCTGAGCAGCAAAGCTTATTCAAATGATGCAGATTATTTATGAGGAGAAAGCTGAATAATGTGCTTTTGGCTGTGGGAGAAAAAGGAATGCACCTATATCAAAAGTGGCTCTAAATAATCATTTTACAGGAGCTTTCCTCTGTGTTACCAAACATGTTTTGTTAGGGAAATACTGACTGCGGATAGTAGCTGTGTCATGAAGTCAAGAATAATCTTGTATGGTACATCACTCAACTAAATAATCATGAGTTTCAAAGCCAGTGATGCTGGCTGATCAAATTAAAAGTCTGGCTCGAGTACAAAGGGGTTTTGAAGTGGTGTAGACATTCAGTGTGGCTTTTGTTTAAAAGACTAAGGCTTGGCCTGGTTCAGCAGTTCTGTTCTCTATTTTAAACTTTACACCTGCCATGGATTGGATTTAGATCAAGAACCACAGAGGTATTTAGGTTCATAATTCTTATATCCTTTTTTGGGCTCCTGCAGGTTTTGTGGGATCATAGGCATCACGATAGGAGTTGGGCACTGGAGTAGCTCAGTGACTTTGTCAGGAGCAGAATTTCTGTGGTGCAAAGGCAGCTGCTGCGAGAGCCTGCGGGGAGTGGAGGCATCTGGCTCTCCCTCAGAAAAGCTGTAGCAAGTCCAAAACTGGCCAAGTGTGAAAAATGCACAGCATGGGTGCACACAGGCCCAGCCTGAATCTGGTCCAATAATCTCCAAGTCCTTCAGTGGGCTCCCAGGCTCCTCCAGCACTGGAGCTGAGCTTGCCTGGAGAGGGAGCAGACCTGACACATGACTCAGTGTTGTCCTGCCTTCCATCAAGACAGACCACAGCTGGGTCCTTCTCTGTTTCCCACCACCCCTTTTGTCTGATAATGGTCATGTTATCCCCCCACAGAATAAATGGAAACTCCATGGCTATGGTTGTCCAGAGGGCAGCTCAGAGCTCCTCTTAATATATTTGAATACTCTGGGCATTGCTGAGATAACTCTTGGCAATTATCAGCTGAGTTATCTGGGTAGGTTGTAAATTTAGGCATTAAACAAGCACTGTGGTCAGCTTTTCTGTGCCCAATAACTTCTTCTGCAACCCAGCACTGCTGCTATACAAAATAGATATTCACAGGTCTTTCTCTGAAAGCAGACCTGGACCTGTTTGGTGTGTAAGATATTATCTCCCCTATATTAAGGTATCTCATTTGTTTGATTTGAAAGTCAAATAGTGGTTTTTTTTCACCAGTGGCTGTACAGAGACATGGGTGTAGGAGTTAAAATGAGTTTTCTACCTATTTTTGTATTTTTAGTAATGCAGAGTCCACAATCAGAATGGGGAAGCAATTTTGATGACAGTGGGGTGAGATGAAATAAAATCCAGTTCACTCACTGATAACTTGGTCAGTCCTGAAATACAAACAATTCAGAACCTTGGGTTTTGCCAAGTAAGAAGATAAAGACTGACAAGATATGGGTGCTGTCTGAGTAACAAGGTGCTATTTTTGCATGTTCACCTTCACAACTTATCCCATCACAGAAACAGACTCAAGGTGAGCAAATAATTTTGCAATCTGAGCAGAAAGCCCCTGAACTTCTGCACTTTTTACTGGGAGAGGTTTGTTTCAGTTTGCTGCAAAACTGAAGCATTCTGAATTGGAACAATTTTTCTATTTGGGGAAGTCTGGACCTGGGTTTTGCTTGAGGCATATGTTGGCCACTTTATTCAGGCAGGTGTTTGAAAATAAAAAAGTAGTTTTACTCCATTTTGGGACTTTATTGTGATATTCAAATAATTTATGCATTAATTGATAAATAAAAGGGGAGCTGTGAACAAGAAAAGATATGACAAAATGATTGGATAGTCACTGATCCTGACGAAAATGTGTATTTTATTTATAGATTGTTCGCCATGATAGAACAATGGAACAGATCGTCTTCCCTGTCCCCAATATTTGTGAATTCCTCACTCGGGAATCCAAAAGTCGAGTGTTCAATACAACAGAGAGAGATGAACAAGGCAGCAAAGTCAATGACTTTTTCCAGCAGACAGAGGATCTGTACAATGAGATGAAATGGCAAAAGAAAATTAGGAGTAAGTATTGCAATTTCAAAAAATGGGTTCACTATGCTAAAAACCTGCTTTTAAACCTTAAAATCCTTTGATTTTAATAATACACTTTTCTCTGTTCATTCTGATACCACCACAGGCAAAACTGTTCAGGGCTTGAGAGCGTAGGTCAGCTGAGACACTTGCATGCCACCGTAAAAGAGGCATAATACGGAGCAGTTAGTAATGTGTTCAAGATGATGTTTTGGACTCCAAAAGTTAAATTGAGGGATGGATGAACTGGGTGTAGTTCTACTCAACTCAATAGCATTGCACCTAATTAAGCCAAGGCCCCTAATATTTAAGAAAAACATGTGTAGCTGCATATTTGAGGTTTGCAGATTCCTAAAAGACCATTAAAAAACTTGTAAATGTCTCTCACCAGAACCTCAGCTGCTTTAAATCTGTCCGACTTGCATGGAGTCAGTTCCCCTCTGCCAGTTCACATCAGCCTTGCGTGACTGGGCTGCAGGGTGTCCCAGAGAGCCCATACTGGTGTCCATCCCGTGACAGTGGGAGAGGCTGGCAGGCATGGCCGAGATCACGGGGGAGAGATCAGAGCAGGGGCACGAGGAGGAGGGGCAGTGAAGCCAAGGCAGGTATCCTGAGTTTCTAGTTTAGTTCACTGATGGGCATGAGATGCTGGAAAGCAGTGCCATGGAAAGGGCTCTGGGGGTCCTGGTCGGTGGCCAGTTGGACACGAGTCAGCAGTGCCCTGGCAGCCAGGAGGGCCAACCCTGTCCTGGGGGGCATCAGGGAGGGGACTGTCCCACTCTGCTCTGACCTGGGGCAGCCTCATGTCGAGTCTGAGGGCACATTTGGGCACCACAGTGTAAGAAAGATGTTAAGCCCTTAAAGAGTGTCCAAAGGAGGGCAATGAAGATGGTGAAGGACCTTGATTCGAAGCCATGTGAGGAGCGGCTGAGGGCACTTGGTGTGTTCAGCTGGAAGAGACTGAGGGGAGACCTCACTGCAGTTCCAACTTCCTGGTGAGGGGAAGGCGCTGAGCTCTGCTCTGGGGGGACCAGGGACAGGACTGAGGGAATGGCCTGGAGTTTGTGTCAAGGCAGGTTTAGGTTGGATCTCAGGAAAAGGTTCTTCCCCCAGAGGGTGGTTGGGCATTGAACAGGCTCCCCAGGGCAGTGGGCACAGCACTAAGGCTGCCAGAGCTCAAGAAGGGTTTTGGATACTCTCAGGCAGATGGTGGGACTCTTCGGGACAGTCCAGTGCAGGGCTGAGGGTTGGACTCGATAATCCTTGTGGGTCCCTTCCATCTCAGCGTATTCTGTGATTCTCATTCTGTCAGAGCCACTGGCCCTCACCAGGACTGGAGCTGCTGCTGATGTCTCAGGGACAGGAGGCTCTTGCCAGCTCAGCCACTATCAACTCTGCCCTTTGCTTTTGGAGCAGAAAGTTGTATTTTATATATCATGGAATCACAGAATGGTTTGGGTTGGAAGGGACATTAAAGATCATCTCATTCCAATCCCCTGCCATGGGCAGGGACACCTTCCACTAGCCCAGGTTGCTCAGAGCCCCATCCAACCTGGCCTTGGACACTTCCAGGGATGGGGCAGCCACAGCTGCTCTGGGCAACCTGTGCCAGGGCCTCCCCACCCTCACAGGGAAGACTTTTTTCCTAATACCCAATCTAAACCTACTCTCTTTTAGTTTGAATCCATTCCCCCTTGTCCTGTCACTCCAGGCCCTTCTGTCTCTCTCCATCCCCCTTGCAGGCTCCCTTCAGGGACTGGAAGGCCACAGTTAGGTCACCCTGAAGCCTTCTCTTCTCCACGCTGAACATACATAAAAATACATGAGAGTCATTCACTGCTAAAATGCAGGTTTTCTAGGAGTGTAACAAATCAGCTGCTCACAGCAACTGATCAGGAAGGAAAGGAGGAACAGGGTCTGTGGTCAGAGCATCAGGGAGTCTGGGTAGTCAAAGCAATATTTAGCAACCTTAATGTGATGGAAACCTGGATATTGGTTGCAATTTTTATAAATGTCAATTCTCAGGCTATAATTTTCATTATAGCAGTAATAAGTCTTCAGCATGAACCCTATCAGCCCAAGTCTTCTTCTCTTGATGGTACTCTAAGAACTTGTCTCTACTGGCAAACTGACTGGAATAGAAGTGGAAAAATAAATGATTCCAAAATAACTCCCTATCTGCACAGTCTGTTTGGGAATAAAAGTCGCTATATTGTAGAGAAATTATTTCAGTAACAAAATCATATCTGGGGGTTTTGCTTAAGAAACACAAATAAAAGAGCCTAACTCAACACTTAAATGCACCAGACCTGCCTAATGCTATAAACAAAGAAAATTGGTTTATTTTTATTCAGAACAGAAATTCCTCAATTCCTTTCATCAGTGGAATGGCTCACAAGTCTCTGTGTTGGTTTTTTTGTATTTGAAAAGATAATACAGGTTGAGGCTCAGTTCATTCTGTAGCCAAGTATCTGTTAGCATGCAGCGTGTGTTGCTTAAATTGACAGATGTCATTTGCAGTGGCTCCAAATGCTTAAATCTCAGCAGTCAGCAGTTTAAGGTTATCACAGTGAAATCTGAATATTTGCCTAATCACCATTAAAGTCTATTTAAACTAAAGCCTGAGACAGCCATTTGCAGTCGAAGGAGTCTGGTGTTTATAAAAAGTTAGCTGGTTGTTCTGCATACTTCCAGGAGGTTTTCAGTACTTTAAAACCTAATTAATAGGGACACATCATGCGCAAAACTCCTCTGGCTAGAGATCTTTTTGCACTATTGCACATAGAATCTTGTTTTGAATGTTCATTTATACGTATTGTAGTGCAGTCATATATATGAAGTGCTTGCCTGGGTCTTAGCACCCTCTGATTTTGTTCTCAGCCTTCTCGCTGAGAACAGTTTATGTGACTCTGGACACAAAGGCTTAACCCTGTTTTGCCCTGTTTCCCTTTTTAGCCCTCTCTAACTAGGTTGTAGGTTCTTTGGGATATGGACTATTTCTGTGTGTTTTTACAGCACTTCACATATGGAGATCATGGCTCGTTTGAGTCCTTTTAAGCAGGAGGACAGAGCTGTTTGTCAGCAGGTGACCTTGGACATCTGAGTATCATGCAGGAAATAGTCAGCTTTCTTAGTACCAAACCCCAGTCAGACCAAATTTTATCTGCTTCCCAAAGCAGATCAAGATGTTTTCAGCCTGACAAAGGTTGGGAACATACCAGAGTTCTGAAACTGTGCCTATTCCATCGTTCTTTGCATAATGTCAGCAGTGCATTTGGTCCAGTTAGGTTATCTGGATGACCCATTCTGGGTCTTCTGGTTGACCGGCATTCAGAGTGCTAAAATCTATTTTTTGTGTCCCCTGCACAGAGGCTGCAGTTTCATAGGCAGCTGAAAAGACTCTGTTGCAAAATATCCAGTCCTAAAATCTTACTGGGGCAAAACTCCCATATATAATAAACTGCATTGTGATCTTTGGATTAAAAGCTCTGTTTGAAGCTATGTTTTATGTCAAACCTATGTTTAATATTTGTGTATTTTAGTTAATTTTAAAGATCTGCATATTTTCTACATTAATCTGTATTTTTTAATTCTCTTCAGACCATTGCTGATTGAGTTTCTTCCTGCTTTCATTTCATTGATGGCTGCTCTTTTCCCCTTTCTAGATAATCAAGCCCTGTTTTGGTTCTCCAGACACATCTCTCTCTGGGGGAGCATTTCCTTCAACCTAGCTGTGTTCATCAATTTAGCAGTTGCTCTCTTCTACCCTTTTGGAGATGATGGAGATGAAGGCAAGTGGAGTTTGGTTTTATTTTTCCTTTTAATTTTAGATGCTTTCATTTGTGAGGTTGACAAATAAAACTGCATCTTCAGGTGCTGCAGAAGCCATTCAGTGCCTCCTAAGTAGGTGCCAGATGTTATCTGAAACGTGGTAGTTGATCTTCTGCGTTTCACGTGGCCCACACAGTGTGGAGTAAAATGGACAGAACATAAGTTGAAGATTATCTAGATGATCTCAGCTAATTTTTTATTTTTTTTTAATATTGCCATATTGCAGTGTCCTACTGCAGCTTCTGAACTGAAGGAGGATTCCCGGCAGCAGAGGGACAGAGATTCTTTAAAAGTGACCAAATTTAATGACTTGCAGCCTTGAAAACATAAAGAATAGAGTGATTTGAAAATTTGACTGTGTTGTTTATTGGGATAAAGGGGCATAACTGTTGCAGAGGACAAATGCATTACATAAAAATATGCTTAAAACCTATGATTCTGTCTCTGCTTCATCCCATGTCACAGGAAATATTTAATGGAATTTATTGTTTGCTATAAATGCAGCAGACTAGCAGGAGGCCTCTTCGAAGCCAAAACAAGCTTAATTGGGATAAAGCAGACTAAATAGTTCAGAATACTGGTAATGGGAGCAGAGCCATTCACCTCTGGGTCTTTGATTCATGTCCAGTCCAGTCAGTAATGTGACTGAGAGTCACCTCTGTCTGATGGCATGTGAACTGGGCTGGTGGAAGCAATCCAGCTTCTAGTAGATACATGTGCTTTTCACAAACACCACAGCTGGCACCGGCAAACATTCCTGTTGGCTGGCTTGAACAGAAAGGCAGCAGATTAAAATATACTGGCAGGGGCACCACGCTGCCCTTTCACCCCATGGGGTGGTCTCTGCAGGTCACATCTCCACAGCCTCATGTAGTAAAGCAAAGTTTGCAGGGCTGGGGCCTGGAAAAGGGAAGCATTTGTGCTCTCCTGTTTGTAAACTGAGGGAGTCAGCAGGAGTGAGTACACACATTAGAGCCCATGGAGGATGAGAGGAAAAGTAAAGAGTTAAAAGTAAACCTTTTAAGTGACTAAATTTTAGCTAATCTATACTCATGGAAATCCTCTGGTCTTCAATCAGTCGGTATTAATACTTATTTTGAACTGCAGATTTATGTTGTATTAGTTTAAGTGGCCCCAGTAATCCTGTGATAGCACATTTCAGGAATCCAGTTCCAAGTGCTTGTAAAAGCCAGAGGGATTCCTGAGGAATAAACAATACATGTCACCAAATGGGATTAGCAGGTCATGAGGCAGCCTCCTTAATTCCAGCCTCCCCCTCCACCAAAGCCTGACCCAACAGCTGGAGTTTTGTCTCCCATTTTCCCCCTTCACTCTGCTTAAATCCACCTGTCTGAGGTGCCTGTGCTGAGCTAATCATCCCAAAATGCTGCCTTGTAGTAGGTACCTGCAGCGCTTATGTCATAGGACATAAGCAAAACTGTTCCAGCTGAAGACAGCTCCTGAAGGGAGCCTACAGGAAATATGGAGAGAGACTATTTACAAGGGCCTGGGGTGACAGGACAAGGGGGAATGGATTCAAACTAAAAGAGAGTAGGTTTAGATTAGGTGTTAGGAAAAAATTCTTCCCTGGGAGGGCAGTGAGGCCCTGGCACAGATTGGCCAGAGAAGTTGTGGCTGCCCCATCCCTGGAAGTGTCGAAGGCCAGGTTGGATGGGGCTCTGAGCAACCTGGGACAGTGGAAGGTGTCCCTGCCCATGGCAGGGAATTGGAGTGAGATGATCTTTAAGGTCCCTTCCAACCCAAACTATTCCATGATTCCATGAAGGCTCCTTGCCTGTGGAGTGCCTGTCTGCATGTTACTGGTGTGGGTCCTGCTACGTGAAATTGCTGGATCTGCAGTAGGGAAAAAGGAAAAGTGATTTGTTAAAGAACCACAGAGAACTTTGGCCTTACCTTTCAGATCCACTTAAAAGATATTTTTTAGGATCCATTAAAAGTTTCCAAATCTTGTTGGCGGAGAAATTATCTGACAAGAGGTGACCTTGAACCTCCTGCCAAGGATATAAACGCTCCTGAACTTTGGAAAAGTCCGGATGCCATCTGAATGTTGAGGCTAGGGCCTCATCTCATTGTTTTCTAATCCCAGTGATGCTGCTCAGCTGTGCATCTGTTGCCAAAGAGATAGCATGATTGCCATTGTGAGTTTAGCTAAATTTTCTATTCCCTTCTCCCCCGTCACTGACCTCTCGGTTCATCCGATAACAATAGAAGTCAGTGTACAAGTGTGACAGTGCCCTGAGATCTGAATGTGCTTTTTATATCACAGCAACATGGTGTGTTTCTAGGGCTTTAAGCAGAGGAGAGAGCCGAATATAGGGGCATCTCTCAAAACTCAGGGAGAGCCCGGAGCCAGCATCTTGCAGAGCAGCCGAGACCGGCTGTGCAGACAGCGGCTCACATGCCCTCGGGAGCTCAGCAGGACCTGGGACCCGCTGCCTTCCCGGGAGCAAGGCACAGCTATTCAGCTGCTCCCAGCCATGCAGATGCTGCCTGTCCCTGCCCAAGTCCCCGTGGCTGCCTCCCGCTGCGGGAAGTGCCTTGCTCCCGTGCAGAGGTGGAGGCTCCCGCTGAACACCCGCAGCCGGGCGGGAGAAAGATGCTTTTCCAGCCGGGGCGCTTCGGTGCAGCTGGGGATGGAAACGTGACACTGCAGCGCTGTGCTGCCCCCAGGACCGGCTATTTTGTAGCTGAGCAATCATGGACTTAGACCGGAGGAGCCCTAATGATCCCTGCAGAAGGGAGCTGATTAGCAGGTTGCTCCAGGAGGAGGGTAAACTGCTCCATCTCTGAGCACTCCTTGGATTTTAATGGAAATTTCATTATCTGCTCTTATAATTACCTGTGCAAAAATCAACAATGCTATGAGAATAATAGCTCTCACTGCAATTTGGGCAAGTCGTGGTCAGCAGTTGCAGTGCATGAATCACACTTTTGTTAAGATATATTGGCAAAGGAATTGATCTTTTGGGGCTGTTTCATGGGGAAAAATGGAATCTCCAAAGATGCCTGTCTCAAATCTCCCTTTCTCCTCTGCACAGGCACACTCTCACCGTTGTTTTCCGTGCTTCTCTGGATAGCAGTGGCATTTTGTACAGCAATGCTGTTTTTCATCTCCAAGCCCGTTGGTATTCGCCCCTTTTTGGTGTCTGTTATTCTCAGGTCCATATATACCATAGGGCTCGGTCCTACCTTGATACTTCTCGGTGCTGCTAATGTAAGTACTTAAAAAGCAAGGGGAATTTCCCTGCCAGCAGAAGGAAAGATATTAAGGGTCTCTTTTTAAAAACCCCCTTTCATTAGAGCTGTGCAAAAACTTCTTTTTCTGGTTCAGTGGTTAAGCCAAAAAAATAAATCATTTCCAGTCATCCTGAAACAGCAGTGTCAGCAAAGTGGGAAGCTAAGAAAAAAAAAGCTGTTTTCGTTTTGTGCATATGCAAATGTTTTAAAATCAAAAACAATATGAAATTTAAAGAAATATTGCTATATAAGGACAATCAAATATAAAGTTCCTCACGTTAAAAGAATAATTTTCTCTACAAGTGCACTCAGCAATATTGACACCAATTTGTGAAATGTTTCTGTGATGTCAAGTATATTTTTGAGAAGAAAAGAGTTTTCAAAATTAAAAATTCTCTCAGCCCTTTGCCAGATCTCTTAACTTAGACAGGAATAATTTTGCATACTTACTGAGCTTGGTGAGATACACAGTGGTGCTCACAAGGCATCTCTTTAGATTTCTGCCTGACTGCTACACCTCTAATTCACCTCAGTATTGGGATACTTGCCACTAGTTCTGTGGGAATTTCACATTCTTAAAACTACCCAGATGAAGGTCAAGGCAAGTAAAGTGCTTGCCCATGTCAAATTTGTGAACAAAAAAATATGTTGAGTCCTCATTGGTTGTCCTAGGCTGCCAAACAGGTGAGGTTAGACCTCACCTTCTCACTCCTGCACTACTGTTCAAGTGCAGGCAAAGCTTGGGAGCAATAGAGAGCCTGATGCTGTTGCTTAAATTCTGTGCTTCAAAAATGTCCCCAGTTTTCTTTTTTTGTTGTTGTTTTTAGGGATTTTATATTGAAAACCATGATCTGAAGGAAACAATAGATCTCACACGCACCCCCCCACACCCCCCACACTCTCTGTTGTGTTACTTTTGTTCTCTTTGTAGTAGCACTCCTAGCTTCTTCTTTCGCAGAGTCTAAACTCAAGATCATTAGGAATTCACTCCCCAGTTGTTGGGGTTTTTTAATGCCTCATGACATTAATCCCCCCCACCTACTCAGTAAGGTTATAGAAATAAATCACAATTCATGGAAATAAATCACAAATGAGGCACAGTGCAGTGTCAGAGAGGTGATGTCCTTCCACTTACTCTCATGGGCTTGTTCCCAGTGCACCATTGGAGCTGGATTCCTCACACCTCGCTCCAGCTATCTAAAAGTTGAGCATTTAGTCAAACCAACAGGTAGGCAGCAATACAAACACTAACTAACAGGATATTTTCTGATGGAATAAACCTAGCCTTTGTTACCCCCCCACAGCTTTGTAACAAAATAGTGTTTCTGGTGAGCTTTGTTGGGAACCGTGGCACTTTCACCCGTGGCTACAGGGCGGTCATCATGGACATGGCTTTTCTCTACCACGTGGCATATGTCCTGGTCTGCATGCTGGGCCTCTGTGTGCATGAATTCTTCTACAGTTTCCTGGTAAGTATGTGCTGCTGTGCAGGGGAAAACTTTGCAAAAATAGAAAATACCGTTACCCATGCAGCTGTCTTCAATTTCTTCCTGACAATCAAACCCAAATCATGTGTATTTTTAGCACGCTGTTGCGTTGCTGCCCCTTAGGAGCTGCTGTTTTTGTTAGAACCTGTTCCTGTTAGGACTTATTTTATCTGCTTTAGAGTTGAAAGTTTGTTCCTTTCTTTTCAGACAATCATCATCATCAAGCCCAGTCCTTTCTCCCAGCTTTCCTCATATTCTGTGTCCATCGTTCCTGTATCTTGTGTCAATCATGACATTTCTGGGACAGGAGTTGCCCACCAGTGTGTGCATCATACCTATACCAAAGTATCCCATTCCTCAGCCCTAATAAAATAAATTTTTAAAAAATTACTTGGGAAATGGGGATGCCATGCTTCTGGTGTAGCAGGGAGATCCATCACTTTAAATGTATCCCACTTCATTTTCTTTTGTTGCCATTACCCAGATGGAATGCCTTTTTATAACGTGATACAGGTGCAGTGAAAGTGAATCACACAAAATTATGCTAAACTCCACTAACTGCTCCCTTTATGCTGAATAGCAGTAAAAGGTGTTTCACTGCTCTTGTTTTCTATTCCTGTTGCTTTATACTGGAACACGTGAAACTTGTTGGGAGACTGACTAAATTGTGGTCATTTATATGGGTTTGCTTTCCTGTTGTTGTATCTTTTTCTCAGCTTCCTGAATAGTGGTGAACTCCCAACACTTCAGAGATGTGTTAAGGACACTAACATTTTCAGGGGTTCAGTGATTAACTCTGGTTGAGCTTCTTTTGAAATCAGATTTTCCAGATCTTTACATTAAAGTCTGCTTCAAAGTTTGGGCAGATTTCAAAGGAGTCAAGATCTGTGGCTGTAGCTGCAGGATGTTTTACAAATTGATGTAACTCTCCTGCTTAAAAAATGCACAGCAAATTACCTGCTATTCCTTCAATGAGTAAGGTGAACTCTGTCTTAAAATCCTTTGCAAAGTGTCAAGTAGTTTAAGAAACATTCTATGGACTTACTGTTTTCAGTATCAATGTCCATTATTCATGGTCATTATAATTGTCCACGTTCCCAGGGTCCTTTCAGGTTTTCACTTAGTAGTGGATGTATTCTAAACTCTACTATTTGTTCTTCAAGTCTTTGCCTTGTATGGAATGAATGATAACTGTCTTCCCCCTTTCTTCCTTTATTATTAATACTTTCACAAGGCTGTGGATTTCAGATCTTATAAATTGGGCCTAATACCTTCTTCTGTGGAACATTTTGATAAATCATTGTGTATCTCTTTATATCTGTAATCTGAGTGTTTTCAAGTGGAAATATATACGTTATAGATAAGGTCCAAAGCACTATAGAATGTAAATAAAATTGAAAGAGAAAAAAAGTTATAAGTTCTTGTACAGCTCCTGTCACATTTAATTGCTATTTTAGGCCTTTGGCATTTAAGGCAGTATTATCGTAATATGTACTTTTCTTTAAAGTTAAATACCAGGAAGATGTAGTGCAGAATAAAGAAGAATAGAAGTTTCTAGTTTTATACAAACAGTGCCATGAATTTGTTTTGACTTAAAAAGAGGTGGCTCTGATCCCTGTACATGTGAATGGCTTTTAAATGATGCCATGAGCTCAAAGAAACAGTTTACAGACATTTAATTACTTAACATGTATGAGCGCAGTTTTGAGTTGCAGCCCATAATAATCAGATGGGAGATGAAAAATTATTTTGTAGGTATAGATCCATAGTATAAAGACATTGTTTTTTAATTCTAATCCAGCCTGGTTTTAAACATGGGGAAGCAATGGATCTTGTTCACTGTTACCCATGTCTGGATCAGGCTCTATTTACTTTGTGACTTTTGATTATCTTAATTTATCTTAAACCCTGAAGTTCTGTGCTAGGTTTTCTCCTCCATAAGCATGCCCAGCTCCTGCTGAAATCAGTGGGAATTGTGGGTTTGTGAAGCCAGAAATGTAGAACACAGCTCAATACATGTTTCAATAGTTCAGATTGTTTTCCTATGTAGCATCCATATATTGCCTCATTTGTATTCATTTTTCCTCTACTCTGTGCCTTTTCCAGCTGTTTGATCTGGTGTACAGGGAAGAGACATTGCTAAATGTGATAAAAAGTGTTACCCGGAATGGTCGTTCAATTATCCTCACTGCAGTGCTGGCACTTATCCTGGTTTATCTCTTCTCCATCATTGGTTTCCTCTTCCTGAAGGATGACTTTATCATGGAGGTCGACAGGTTGAAAATCAGGACCCCTGCTGCAGGTATTGTTTTTTATATTAAAATTTGCATCCAACGTATCCCTTTTCTGTCTGCCTAACCTAACTTTCACCTAAGGACATCAAATTGCTTTATTTGTGCCTGTGAGAGCAGAACTAATTCCATATACCTTAGCACCCAGTTAAGTCTCTGTGTAAAATTGAATGGGTTTATTTGTTGAAATACTGAAACCCAACACCTTTGATTTGTTATGTTTGCTTTTCAAACTCGTGATAACGTTAAAAAAAAATCTCTATTTCCTAATTATTTGGAAAAGCACCTCAAAGTGGATTCTATTATTTCTTATCCCACCTTAAAAGCAGCTCATAGTAATTTCTGTGTACTATATGAGGCATATGATTAACATGTAGCTGTATTTGTTTGATTACATCCAGCAGAAATTTATTACAGAATTCACACATCAAACGATAGGAGGTTTCCTGGAGCATCTTTTAAATGTAGTGTTTCATATAATTTTTGTGTAATCCTGGCTTCAGTAAAATCATTGGGAGGTTTTTAACCAGTTTTAAAAAGGCCAGAATTCCAGCTTTCTGGCATAAGAGGTTTTACCAATGTGAATAGAGAGTTACAAACTGGCTTTGCTAGAAAAGAGCCAGGTCTGGTCTGTTGAGCACTTTGTATGTGTTGCCAACCAGCCTGCTTGGGAGCATGGGCAGAGAAGTAACTGCAGAGAAATACCTGAGAATAGCTTGTGATTAAATTCCTAAGGGCATGATTTTCCCCAATCCTGAGCTCTTCAGACCTGCACACAAGCACAGAACAACTGGTGGGATCCAGCCTGGACTGTGTGCACTCAGTGTTTGCCAGCCTTTCCCTAAAGTTGTTATTTCAGGATTTAAAGCACACAAACAAGGCAAAGGTCATTCAAGACTTATGGGCATGGTGTTCTTATATAGCTGGTTTGGTACCATATTAAAAAAAAAGGAAACCTGACAGATTTGTTTAACANATACTGTAAATTTATAATTTTTTTTCCACTGATTATCCTTTAAGGGCTAAGTTGGCTTATATTTGACTTACCATTCATTTCTGGGACAGAATTTATGCTGTGAAGTTTCATTTCAAAGGTAGTTGTAACAATCTTAGTAAGATGTGAGGCTGCACACAGCACTGGTCTGATCCGGTGCAGGAGCTCCTGTGTATTTGTGTTGCTTCTGTCGAGTTCTTGGCAGATTTTTGTGGTGTGGGTATGTTCTTGCTGGCTTCATACATTGCCATTTCTGATCAAAAAACTCATCAGGAAAATATGCTGACTGCATACTGAGGGAACATTATGCTTCCCAGGACAAGTGCTTTAAATTTTTTCTTTATAAAGTAGCAGAAAGAGAAAGTCAGAGTGCGTGTTTTCTCCCTTACACACATTGTCTTAGTCTGTTACTTTTGTTGTATGATTTTGCCTTCGGGTTTTTTTCCCTTTAAACCTTTTTGTACCTCTGATTTGAAATGCAGAAAATTGTTGAAGATGCAGAAGAGAAAATTGGTTTGATAAAATCAAGCTGATGTACACATTTACCCACTTTGGGAATGTTAAATTAGTGTTTTACAGAAACCCATACATATTTACAAATGAGTACAAACTCTGTTATAATCCTTGAAAACTCTTAAATATTCTACATTCAGGATAACTGAACATCAGCTTGGTGTCCTTCTTGTCAGCTTTTGTGAATAATTTATCTAATGGTTTTAAAACTGACATTATTTTCATATCTGACAGTTGTTTCATGCTTTGAATATATTTTGTTCTAACCAGAAGCAGCAGCATTTGATGTAGATTCATTAATTTCAGGAGATGAAATGGGAATAGCTGTGATATACAGTAAATATAAAACTGTGTTTTTGTTCACTGTGATTGCTTTGAGCTGTTGAGGCAAACTCTTTGAGGAAGGAGGAATTGGTGATATAATTTGTGCTGTTTTTTCCTCTTGACTTTCCAACTCAGTGATTCACTTCTAGAAAATAATGATTTAAAACTTCACATCAATGTGATATCTTTTTATCAACATCCTGCTCTTCCCACAGGTATTAGTGAAGTCCCCACTACAACCCTCACATCAATGATGGGAGCCTGTCCAAAAGAGAACTGTTCCACAAGCATCCCAGTTATTAACCCAGGTTAGTACAGAAGTTCCCTCAGACTGATGATCAGCTAGAACCAAGGGATCCTTGGCAGTGTTCGAGGCCAGGTTGGATGGGGCTCTGAACAACCTGGTCTAATGGAAGGTGTCCCTGTCTATGGCAGGAGGGTTGGAACAAGATGATCTTTAAGGTCCCTTCCAACCCAAACCATTCTGGGATTCTATAATTTATGTATTACTATTGCAGGGACTTTTGCTTGTGTGAGAAGTAATGATCATTGTTGTGAGCCAGAAGTGCTCAACTTCTGCAATGCTTGGAGCTTAGTTGGCAGCTTGCTATTAATGGGAGTGCTTCCCACACCTAATTTCCAAATGCACTGACATTAATTTTGTTATTAAAAGAGCTTGCTGAATCATTATGCCTGAATATACAGGTTGCTTTGTGCCAAGTGACTTAGAGAAAAAAGCTTGCTGCTTATCTGCAGCATCCTCACCTGCACACACTGAGCCACTCTTAGATCTATTTAGGGCCACATAAGTTGATTTTCATGGCATAGCACATGTATCAGCAAGCTTTTGTGTATTCTTTTTTCGTGCATCTAGGCCAAGGCTGTAGTGTAGCCATAAAACCTAAGAACCCAGGTCCAGGAGTGTCTGTCTCCCACTCTTTTCATGTGGCACAGTCTAGTTCTTGAGGTTAGTCTTTCACTCCAGATATTAAGTTTGTTTTAGTGTGTTGTGGCCTTTGCAGTGGAGGTGTGTGCACAGTGGTTGATCCACAGGCTTAAAACATTTATTGCCACAGTTGCCTGTGGTTGCTGGGGGCTGAAACTGAGGACATAAATGGTCCCTTCCTACCCTGTGTGCTAGTACAATGCTGTTTCATAAGCTTTATTCTTCCACTACTAATTTCTGAGTTTTTAGGATCAAAGGCTTCAGGCAGAGGGCTATAAAAGTAGGCTTTTTCTCCCCAGCTGGTGTGTAAACAGGCCTCATAAACAACATGGGAAGCTGTCTGACTAGATAGAGAAAACAGTCTAAGAGCTATTGGCAAAGCTGCTGCATTCAAAGAGTAATCAATCAGTCAAAAGAGACGCAGTGTGGCTTTTGCCAAGCTCTTTAAATGATAGAAATCTTACATTTCTTATTGTTTGGGTACTGCTGCTTTAAAATCAAACCATAATGAAAGGGAGCTGTACAAGACATCTAAGGGTACTGTCAGTTAATCTTGAAGAGATTTTATTTATCCAGTAACATTAAAAAAAACAGCATACAGCAAGAAGAGTTTTGCTCACCTTAGCCAGTGAATCACCTGTTCAAAAAGGTCTCATCTCCCTTGGAGTCTCCCACTCTTCAGTGCAAAGGCATTTCCAGATCACTTCAGTCTGTGCCTGGTGAAGTGCTTAATCACCTAAAGGAACTTCATATCCTACAGTACATGTCTCCTTGTGCTCTGTAACTCACAAAGACCTGAACTGGAAAGGTGCACAGATATCTGTTTGTAAAAGGGGACATTTCCAAAGGCTCATTCCACGGCCAGGTTTGGTACTACCCTGTGCAGGTTCAGCTGGATCTATGTGGGCACTGGTGTGTCTCACCTGCCTGTGCTTGTGTGGCTCAGGAGCCAGGTAGCTGTGGGCTGTCAGATGAGGCTTTTTGAGGTAAATCTCCCTCTCATCCCACTTCCTACCCTGTGATTAACATCGTGGGGTGGCCTTAGTGCTTAACCTGCTCTGCCTTTGAATTAAACTTAATCAGAGGACAGCCAGCCTAATGCTGTCCAGCCACTCATGGGACACTAGCTAGTCTGGAGCTGGTTGCAAATAAACACCCCTGAACCTCAATTAATGTCAATATTGGGGCCTTAGCAACAATTCACTGTACAGATCCACTCCTTTCTTTCAAATATGGGCATGGTTGGTCACTAGGAGGGGCGATCCTGGGTTCTGAATGCTGCTGAGCAGCAGAGGCAGAATTGGCTCCCCCGCTGAAGGCAGCCCTTGTTACTCCACATCTGGGAGTGGAAATAGGATAGAGAAATTAGTGTCTGTACATTCCTCACAGACTACATTGCTGCACTAGAGGTTTCTGCCAGCTTTGTGATTCTTTGGCAAAGATCTTGCAACCTGAGCTTTCTCTTCTGGGTGCCATGTGGGATGCTGACTCTGTGTTGCAAGATGTGCCAGTCAGGTGATGCATCTTGCATCTCTCTGAAGCCTGGGCTTGCTCTGAATTTGCATCCCAGTGCACACGGAGAGTGCAGTGCATGGAGAGGGTTGCTGGTAGGTCATTCTCTTGTGTTGCAGCTTCCAGTTTTCAGCCGTGGTTTGTTCCCAGTGTTCACCAGAATCTGATCATCTGTTGTTCCCAGCACCTGACCCTGGTATGGTGAACAGTGAAAATGTTGTAGCTACCTAAAGGAAATAGAAGCTGTGGCTTTTATCAGGGCTTATAATTTGTGTCGTGGATGGCCACCTTCTCAAGCACAGATATTGGCTCTGAAAAAAAAGATGGAGTATTGTTTGGGAGGAGGAAATAAAGCAAAAATTAGTTGATATGATGAAAATCACTGTGCTGGTAAAAAAAAGTCCAGATACGATAGGATAAGAAAGGTTTCTTGTTTCAGTCCTTTCAGTTTCAATATTTAAGTAGTTATTTTTAAATCTGGAATTACTAGTCATAGTAATGTCTTTAATGACCATATAATTTAACAGGAAGTCTATCCTGATGTCTGCTTTTGCTTTTCTTTTTGCTCAGAGTTCCTTAAATCAGGGATTGTTTCTCATTTAATTTACTTGCAGAGCAAAAGCAGTGGTGGCAAAAGCAGCAGATACCAGCACTGTTGTGCACATCCCAGTCATGGGATGTAGGCCCCACAATTTGGGGATCCCGTGTTTTAAATCCAGATTACTTGTGTGTAATGTGAGTGCTTTTGGTCAATTCAATTTATTAAAGTCTACCTCGGTGCCCCAGATGATGTGGTGGTTTGGGGCTGTTAAATATGTGTTTCAGTCAACTGTCACAGCAGGATGTTGTTATTTATTAAATTATGTTACAATGAGTGCATGAAGCAAACCAAGTGTGAATCGCTGTCTGAAGCGAGCATATCCCTAAAGAGAAAGGAAGGCAGGAGAAATGGCAATCACAGCCCTGACCCTTCAGTGCAAGCCAGCAGGACACATGGAACAACTCAAGCAGAGTTCTTCAAAGGGAGGCTGTTGATGCAGCCCCAGCATGGGAGCTAGTGCGTGGTGGGAGGAATTCTGGCCAATGTGGACAAATTCCCCCCAGGGACTGGTGTTCCAGCCCAGCTCCTCTGCACGTTCAGACATCTCCTGCACAATAGTACCCTCTGTGGCTCAGCCAAAACCACGCAGCAGCTCTGCAGCAGAGATAAGAATAGAATCCAAGTTTTCAGGCTGAGGTCAGGGAGAGCCTTTCATTTAATGTATATCAGACCTGTGTGCTGGTGGAAAGATCGTGGACAGATTTACTGGTCTAAAAGCCAGCTCCTCCTTAATGGTTTGAAATGCTAACATGACTTGGCTTGTACATGAGTAGGTAGAGGGATGATTTCACAGGAAGACAATCCCTTCACAAATGTGCTTCTAATTCTGTGTTTATATTGCTTCTCATCTATGAATTTTTAGGAGGCCCAGTGAAACCAGTGGGAGCACTGCAAGGAGAAGAGGTGCTCCCATGAATAGAGATGGCAGCTCTGGGTCCTTAACTGCACTGGTGTGATTTTCTCCATCTCTCTTAAGGCTGAGTATGCCTGATGTGCCTAAATGTGTCACCAGCAGCAACATTCACAGGGGTAGGGATGATCAGTGGAATTCTGGCTGAGGAATATGAAAGACAGATGTGCATTGCAGTTGGTTTCTGCAACAAAGAACTGTGGCTTTGCTTGGTGAGTGATGGGTTGATGTTGTGACTCCTAAAGCTGCCTCCCTCCTGCCTGCAGGTGAAGAGGAGGAAGATGGAATAGAAAGGACCTGTGACACCCTGCTCATGTGCATTGTGACCGTATTAAATCAAGGCCTGAGGAATGGTGGTGGTGTGGGAGACGTGCTCAGGAAGCCTTCCAAAGATGTAAGTGTTTTGGCTGAGGAAGTGCATTACTCCCTGTGCATCTCATGAATGCCAGAGTCAATTTTTGGAGGTTACAGACAGTATTTGTATCTAGTCTGGTCTCTTGTCACACTGATGATTTATCCATGTAATTTTTAAATCCCAGATGGAATGTTTAATGGGAAGAGCTAAGTTTGGTGTGATGATGATACTTGAAGAAAGGAACTCTAGGTAGTTGTTTACCCCTTCTGGAAAACTGGAGCTTATCATAACCTTCCAATCACTGCTAATAAGTCAGACCTGGTGAGGCATGTCTGGAGTGCTGTGTCCAGTCCTGGGCTCCTCAGGACATGGAGCTCCTGGAGTGGGTCCAGCGGAGGCTGTGGAGATGATTCAGGGACTGGAGCATCTCCCTGGGGAGGAAAGGCTGAGGGAGCTGGGGCTGTTCAGCCTCCAGAGGAGACACTGAGAGGGGACCTCATCCATGTGTGTCAGTGTGTGCAGGGAGGGGGCAGAGGATAGACCAGGCTCTGCTCAGGGGTGCCCAGTAATGGGAGGCCATGGGCAGGAACTGATGCCCAGGAAATTCCACCTGGACAGGAGGAAGAACTTCTTTGCTGTGCAGTGACCGAGCACTAGAACAGACTGCCCAGAGAACGTGTGGAGTCTCCCTCACTGGAGATATTCCAGAGCTGTCTGGACACAATCCTGTGCCATGTGCTCTGGGATGACCCTGCTGGAGCAGGGAGATTGGGCCAGATAACCCACTGTGGTCCCTTCCAACCTGAGCCATTCTGTGATTCTGTGAAGTGTTGCTGGAGATCACTCTTTTGTTACACTGAGAATTACAGATGTGAACTTGTAAAATGGATTGATTGATAAATATATGTCAAGACCCTCCACTGAGGTGCATAATGTGTATTTTTAGCTTATATTCCATGGCATCTGCCCTGGAATAGGTCCTATTGTTTACTTGCACTCAAATAGCATGAATGTCAAAACAGAATTTTGTATATCATGGTATATGTCCCTCTGCCATAAGTTTCCTCAAAAATTCAGTTCATTTGAGGACTTGCCTTAATATTTAGGTGAGTTTATGTGTTTTTATTTAGGTTCAAAAAGAACATCACAAATAAAGGCAAAGCAGCACTTTGCTTAATGAGCCACACTAGAACCCAAGGATGTGTTATAAATAAATTAGCAAGTAGCATCTCAGCAGGGCTTGCAAGAGTCCAGAGACAAATAACTCTGATCTGGATGGAAGAGCTTCCTGTGCTGGTAGTAGGAGTCTAGGTCCTACCTCACAGGCTGGGAGGTTCTACATGAAGAAAAGTTTATCCCCATGAAATCTGTAAACACTTAGACTTTGAAAATTGCCCTTTCCACTTAGCAGCTCTTTAAGGCTAATTATATTAAAGCACTTCCCAAAGGGTAATACTATTATCCCAATGAATGTGTGGGAAACTGAAGAAATTTGGTGACTTCTAAGTCAGTCATGGTGAAGAAAAGGTCTTGGGTTTTATGCCTCTGTAGTCCCTCTCTGTTTCTGAGAGTAAGGCTACCAGAATTTGGCATATGAAAAGAAAGATTTGCTTTGCTTGAGCTAATGTGAAAATGTTCTTTAATATTTTAGAGCTCTGCTATTTTTATATCTTATTGCAACCTTATTGTTGCAGGAGCCCTTGTTTGCTGCACGAGTTGTTTATGATCTTCTGTTTTACTTCATTGTCATAATTATTGTTCTAAACCTGATCTTTGGAGTCATCATTGATACATTTGCTGATCTCAGGAGTGAAAAGCAGAAAAAGGAGGAGATACTAAAGACAACCTGTTTCATCTGTGGTAGGTGTTACTGATTTATTGAGATATTTGATGGGGAAAGGAGTGAAAATGAACTATTTCTCAAAAAATAAAGTGTGGATCTAAGGGGTGGTTATCTTCTACAAGGAAGTCTGTAAAAATGCCAGAGTTTGATTCCAAATTTATTCCCTCTCAGTAGGAAAAAGATTTGGTTTATGAATCAAAAGCCAGCTTTGCTAAGAGGTGGCTTCACAGTCTCCACCCTGAATCTGAGGGAGAAGAGCTGTGTCTCACACTTGCATCATCACCACTAATGGAGATGGTGCAGCTGCTGACTTTATTTCACAAAGTGTGATGCAGATGAAAGTACAGATTGCTATTTCACAGCACAGTGCATTACAGAAGGGTAACAACAGCAAAATCTGCCTGTTTCAGAAGGTGATATGAAACAGGGAACAAAAAAAATTCAGTGAAAATCAGCCCCACGAAGCCCATGGATAAATCACGCTTATTTTGACGTGCACTCACAAAGAGGGGCAGACCTTCACTCCCCCAGGGGACTTCAGAAATACCTGCTCTTTTGTAGGCTGGGTGTCGTTTCCATGGTTGTGCTGACAGGGATGAATGTTGTGCAGAGCACAACATCTTTAGTGTCTTTAGCACAACATCTTTGTGGAAGCCTCCACAAGAGATCCAGGGAGAAGAGCACATTGGTGCTTCCTCACTGTGTTCCTCTTCAGAGATTTGACCTGTGATAGGGAAAAACCAAAAAATTTCTTATGACTACAGCTCTGTAAGGACTGTATGAGTTCAAAGCTGCAGAGACTCACCCTCTCTGCCAGGCTTAAGCACACAAACAATCCCACCCTAGCTTAAGTGGGACTGTTCATATGCTTGATGCTAAAAGTGTGCATAAATCTTTGGAAGATCAGGACCTGGACTGCACGCTGTGGGCTTACCAATATCCATCTAGAAAGAGTCAGAGCCAACACTTGTAAAAGCACTTTATAGCCCTCAGCATAGAAGGCACTGTAAAACCCTAACATATTTATTATATTGTTATTGTTATTAAGAGGAAATATCACAGAAGAGGATAAATGCTGCGCTGAAAGGCTTCTGTCAGGAATGCCTTCTGGCCTGGTGTTTGTTGCCTGGTGGTTACTGCATGCAGTTATAGCTTTTAAATTAAGCTCCTTCAAATTTATGGTCCTTTAAATTAAGTTAGGTCCCTTTCTCTAACAGATTTGAGTATTTTTATTTTGAAATTTATTTTTTGGCTTTACATTTGTGTCTTTTTTTTGCAGGACTGGAGAGAGACAAATTTGATAACAAGACCGTTTCATTTGAGGAGCATATAAAGTCAGAGCACAACATGTGGCATTATTTGTACTTTATAGTCCTTGTCAAAGTCAAAGATCCGACTGAATACACTGGCCCAGAGAGCTACGTGGCACAGATGATTGTGGTGAGTCAATTTGGGCACGTGCTTTATGCAACTGATAGCTCCTTGCAGCTACAGCAGCGAGTATCTTTCTTTTTCCCCCTCTCTCTGAATAATAGGAGGGATCGATCTGTGTTTTTAAAGATCTTTTCACATGCCTGAGTCTGCAACAAAGCCTGATCTTAAACGCAGTGAAAAGGATGAGGGCGCAGGCCACAGTCTCCAGTTTGGCGGCCGTGCTCTCATGCTCTGTGGGTTCTGCTGCCTCATTAGCCAGACCCTGGGCAGGAGATGCATCACAACATCTGGTGCTGCTCCGGCTTTGTCCAGTATCCCTGGGCTGCTGTCCAGAAAAATAACATCTCCTGCTGAACACTGAAGCACAGGGTCAGCATTGAGGGCTAGTGCTTTTCTCCTATGACTGCTCTGAACAAGCTGTTGAAAAGACCAAGAAGAGCAGCTGCAGGGATTTGAAGAGCCACAGAAACTGCCTCTTGAAGCAGGAAGAGTTTGACTTGGACTCAGAGAGAGAAATGTGATGACACTGGGGCAGAGAGATGTTTGATTACATTTTGTTTCCAGCCTGCTACCTAAGAGAATTCGTTCTGGTGAGCGAGAGGGATGGATCATCAAGGCTGCCTGGCTTGGGGCTTCATTTTTGAGGAATTCTTCTTGTCTGCTGGGATATTCTGGTGCAGTATTTTCTTCCTGTGGACTTCCTGGCAGGTACTGCACTGCTCAGGGCCCATGCCAGGGTCTGTGGTTGCAGAGCTGGCACATGTCTGAATCCCAGAGGAGAGTGTAACCGAATGCGCATCAGGATTTGCTGTTTATGCATTTCTGGAGCCACGTTTCTTACCAAGAGCATCTGCCCTGTTATCCCTCATCAGGCCTTTGACTGGACATACTACCCAGCCTCATTATTGAGATGCTGGGTGCCCTTTTAGTCCTCAGTTTAGTGAAAGGGAAGATTCTTCTCCTTTAACTTCAGCTGTCTTCACATCAGGTGCCTGGCTTCAATCAATCCCAGGTCCCTGCCTTGTCAGTGCAGAGAGCTGGGTTATTTATCCTGCCTTCAGATAGGTCTCTACGAGAGCTGGAGTGACTCACCTTTCTCACTCCATTGAGAGCCTAAATGGTTAGTTTAGATAAGATGCCTAATTGGGAGCTGGCTGAAATAGAAGAGGTGACTCCCAAGCACTGTGCAGGCTTATGCAGAGCTTACCTTGAAGAACTCACATTAGTGGAATGGCTCATGTTTAGACAGGAGTGTGTGCTTTACTGCTTGGAGCTGCTGTAAGTGCTATTATCCCTACATGGGAAAGTAGTGTGGCAGGTGATGGGAATTCAGTGCTCAGGTATAGAGGAACAGCCTGTGTCCATCAATTTTGAACCGTCAATCTCACTGCCCAGCTCAGGGCATTTATCCTGTGGGAAGTAATGGATCTACACTTCTGCAGTGTGATGGGAGAGACAGAAAACCTAAGACAAAACCTAAACCAAATCCTTACAGCCTCTGTAGCGTTACAAGAAATTATTTACAGTGGCAAGTTGTCCTGTTACACATGAAAATATTTTAGCTTATCTCAGGAATGCCCTTTAATTTGTGGAATCAATAACATCTCCAGACTCTGGGGCTTATCTCACTTGTTTAGTCCTTCTCTACTCCTCTTCCTCTCCCTGCAGTGTTTGTGTGATTTTAAACTTTGTGGTATGTATGTTAAGTATTAATGTTTAATTCCAAGAGACACATTAATATTCATAGTAAGCATATTCATCCTGTGGCAGCAGTGGTTTGACTTTTCTGATGTAATTCACCAGTGTATTTTACTTTTACATTAATGGTGGGAACTCCTGTTGGAATGTCTAAAATATTAACAGAAAACCACCAAAAACTCACGTGACCTCAAGCATTGAACTGATTTCTCAAAGCCCCTGTTCCTCTGTGACAGAATGCTGATGTAATCCAGATTTTGGGATTATTAAACCCTCTGAAGGAAGACTTTTTTTTTTTCCATGGGTATATATATAAAGTTTAAGGTTGTTCTGGATGGTGGGAGAGGTACATATGGACTTAGAAGTGTAAAGCTTACACGGAATGGAAGCAGGAATGAAGGAGTGAGGGGAAAAAAAGAGAAAGAAATGTTTGAACAAACTACAAGTGGCTGGTGTGAGATTAGTAATTGTGTCTTTGTGTAGTTTAAATTCCCGGCACAAAATCTAGGGAAGGTGTGCTGCAGAAATACTGGTGCTGCATAACAGAAACAATTGGAACTGCTTAATTGAACAAAAAAAGGACGCTTTCCTTTGGAGCCAGAGAGTTTACTGTATATCACATGCTTTGAGGAATATTAAGAAATTAAAATAATCTGTCTGGAAGAATGGAGTACGATATTCAGCTAGGAGAAGAGATTTAAAGATACAGCTTTGCTCAGGACCCAAAGAAGAGTCAAAAGGAAAGCTCTCAGAGGTAGTTTTGCAGCTATTGGTTGTGTTTCACAGAATGTTAGTGATGAAATTACATGACAGGCGTGTGAGATGTACTACATTCTGTGCAGAAATTAAGCCTGAGTGTGGTTTGTGTCCTGAAGACAGAGAAAGCAGCTGATTCAGACTTTGTGACAGGCTGAAAGCTCCATGACCATTCTTCTGATGCTGGGAGAGGAGACCAAGTCCCTGTCAGAGACCAAGTTCTGGTTAGGATCTGGCAGAAAAGAGCAGACTTCAAATTAACCTTTCCCAAGGGGCTTGCCAGTGGAACTGACTCATTGCTGAATAAGGCTTATTGGGGGTGTATGGGATTGCAAGAAATCTTTATAAGATTGTTGGAATAACAGGAAAGTGTCAGGACCTCTTTGAGGGGACCAGAATGAGATTTTATATTTCATACTATACCAGAATATGGCTGCAAAAACTCTGTGATCCATACTCCTGGAAAACCTCTCTTAACTCTATTTATGATTAGGAATGCCTTCTATGGCTGCTTCTGTAGCTTTAATGGATCAAACCCCAATTCTGTGTTTTGACAGCCAGATTACTTAGAGAAAATTTCTACCCAAATCAAATCTTCAAGGCTCAGATCTTAAGACCCTTTAAATACAGGGTCAAAATTTTGGAGCATACTGCAGTAATTTCTTTAATAGGAAGTAGAGTAAAGCTGCAAGTATCATCCTCACTACCCCTACAACTCTAGTTAGGAACCAATTATTATTTGCACTTGTCTTCTACTGTCTCACGAAGTATTGCAAAAAGTAACATTGGAATGATTATCAGTATTAACTAAGCACCAGAGAAAGCATCTACAATTTCTCATAAACTCTCTTCTCCATTGCACAGCCTCGTCAGAACCCAAAAATATGACTGTCTTCTTTATGACTCTCAGTCTTTTCTATGTATCATTTGTCCAGCAAACAGTGAAGCCTCTGGTTTGAAGGCTCGCTGATATTACAACTGATTCAAAATAGGAATACTGTGGTTTTCTTCTTTTGGAATATTATTTGAAAGGCTGGATGCCGAAATGGAAGGGAGTCATTTATGCATCATAGTTCACTTCTCCAGTTTTCTAGTTCAAGAAGGGGAAAGAACATGTAGGAGATGTTTACACACCCCTCGCTCAAAGGCAATATTTTTGCATTTCTGTTCTGAGTTTGTATTTCTGTTCCAAGGGTGGTTTGTTTTGAGGCATTTCCGTTATCTTGCATGTCTCTGGCCTCAAAAGACCCTGGGGCAGAGGAGTTTAGCTTTCTTCATCTGGACTATGGACATTGTCTGCAAACTCCTGGTGTTCCCTGTGATTTTGATTTTCCCAGCAGCTCTGTATGGGCTTCAGTGCTTAACATACTGCTCTGAGCAGTGACAGAAGTACTCAGTATCTCTCCAGCTTTCATAAAGAAAGGTATTAATTTTTATTTTTCTTTCTTTTTTAAAAAAAGCATCAAGCATAAAATGTATTGTAAAGTAGCACACAGTTTATGCACCTTAAGCTTTTCAGGCAGTTACTTTATGGAGATGTTGGTGGGAATAAAGCACATCAGCTCTTTTAGTGATGCCCATTCTTCTTGCATACTATCTTATATCACTTATCAGGTGAAATATCAATGAATATTAAATCAGAGTAGTAGGCTTTATTATTTGTTTGTTCTTCGGGTCTTTTTTATGAAGTCAGACAGGTATTATACAATATCCAAAAGGACAGGAACTTTGAAAAGCTGGCTACATACCTTGCATTTGCTCTGAGAAATTGCATGAATGACTCCCCTACTGAATTTTCATTCCTGCAGAAAACATTCCTTCTTATCTGACCCATTTGACCAGAAACACCATCCCTAGCAAAGCCAGAGTGATGCACATTATTTGTATTGCATCGATAAAGCAATCTTTGAATGTTCCTTGTGTCCATTTGTCAGAGGAGACAATTTAATGCCATAACTGGAACAATGAAGGTTAATGTCCAAATTTTTAGACTTCATTTTTGAGAGGTGTAATTTGTACACACAGATTTCACCTAAGCTTTGGTAGCTGTAAATGGAGAAATGGAGGTAAAAAAAAATGTAGATGATTAGTTACTGAATTTTTTGCAGCACAACATATATGAATTAGTCTGTGATTTGTGCCTCCATTCATTTGCAAAACTAAAAGGCTATTGGAATAGCAATTAAATTAATTATTTTGCCCATTGGAAGAATGAAAGACTTGAGCAAACAAAGCCCTAAAAGTTTTGTTCTTGCATGCTCTGTCCACAGTTCTTAGCAAGTTTCATAATGGCTTTTATCAGCATTAGTGTGCTACCTGTCATAATTACATAATTACAGCACCTAGTTATATTATTACTTATTTACTCTAATTGTGTAATTGGATGTAATTGGTGCAATTACATAACTCCTCAGTTGAGAAAACTGCTCTAAAACCAGCCTATGCTCCTAAGAGTAAAGGATACTGCCATGAATTAGGCTATCCCTCTAAAGCAAGGCAATCTTTGGTGGGAAATTAAAGGTTCTGTTCTCAGTCGTGGTCATTGGGATCAT